TTAAGCAATTAGTAGAGCCGCAGGAACCCGACGAATCGACGACTGCCACTAGCGCAGAAATCTCATGTGGGGGTTTCCGAAAATAGTGGGGGAGGGGGGGGGGGGGGCGTCCCTTAAGGGGAGATTATAGGCTATTTCGGGGTGTCAAAAAGGGGGTACCCCATTTTGGGAACACCACTGCCTGCTTCCAAGGGTCCCCGGTCAATGGGTTGATTGCGGAAGCAGGGGGTCCTTGGCAAGTGGCAGCTTGGATGATTTGGGCCCACATACTTGGAGGTTCATGGTTCTTGTTTTTTTGCCAGTCATGAATGCCAATCAATCACTGTTACTTATAAGCATCGTAAGGCACTTAGGGGCGTATAAGTGGGTGATACGTGCAGTCTAGCGGTTTTCTAAGTACCATGAACCTCCAAGTAGCCTTGCCAAGCCATGCGAACGCCCACGTGATCTGCTCGTCGTGTGCGTGCTTTCAGCCTGCGGAGATGTCCAAGACCCGTGCGGTATATGTATACATTAACATAATCATACTACTCTAATAATTCTAATTAATTGTCCATAATCATAAAAGGAAAATCCGATCATAATCATGAACAATAATATAAGTATAATCAGAAAAGAACAATTAAATAAGAAATAATTGTAGGTAAGATCATAATGTTCTATGTGATATTATTGATATATTTTGTCATAAAAAATGTAGTGTATATATTATAGCTCATGGATGTCCGTCCGGTCCAGTTGCCCGTGGATGCAGGAAACATGGCGCAGCAACGGAACCAGGATGCCTGGGCCACTTGATTGTGAACCCTCGGGTTGGATCGCCCAACATGCAAAACCCCAGACCTTTGGGAGGACCCAAACAGTAGAACCCCTAACCAGTACCCTATACTACTATTGGGTCATTCTTAGTGGAACACTTAAGAACCTAAACCGTACCCTATACTATATTGGGTCAGTCTTAGGAACCCCAAGGGGATTACTTTCTGGATCCTCCCAGAATTATGGAAACAACCACAGCTCGCCGGCCGAAAAAACCTCGCATCCTGAGGTTTACGGCATGGCCTGGAATCATGCCAGAGTGGAATAAGAAGGCCCGGAATGGCAGATCAGATGTGTTGAGGACGGCCCCGGAATCCTATGCTTCAGGGCTGAGTGAGAGCAAGTTTGTGGGTGGGGATGGTGCTATGTCAGATAGGACCAGAAAATCAAGAGCCTCAAAAGGCGGCGGAGGTGGGGACGCGCCATTCTCATAGCTAGCGCACGTGACGTGCGCAAGCTTCCACCGCGCCTGCCCTGGCTTGGGACGAGGCTTTTCTTTCGCGTCCATACTAAGTCACTAACTAGCAGCTGAGAAGGTAACCTTCCACCTTGGGGGTAATAAATCCTACCAGAATTGAAAGATTAGCTTTGGGGGCCCAGGGTATTCTCAGCAAGTAGGCGAAGGTCTGGCAGGTAGCGAGTTTGCGAGGATGCTGCAAGACCTGATCCAACTGCTCCTTGCAGGTGCAAGCCGAGACCGGACTTTAACACGCACAAGGTTCAATGATTACGCGGGCATGTGAAAATAACCTCTGATCTTAGGAAGAACGGCAACCTCGTTTGCAGCTTGCAGCGTTTCTGGGTGGAGCGGTTGAAGACGGGCGCGCGTCTAAATACACTCGAGACCACTTTGAAGCTTCTACGGACCTCAGTATAACTACTCAGTCAAACGGCAAATCTAGAGCCAACACAACTGTCCATTGATTCCGTCCTTCTAGCAAAGCCTGCTTGTATTCATGAGATCCACGCCTTTCATGTGTGCTTGGCGCTTTGTAATGGGTTCGCCATTGTACAAAAGTCAAGTGTCGGGGTCTCTGCAAAGAAGAGCGGGCAATATCGATTAAATCGGTTGACCATCCGCACAGGTCCTTCGCGGGAGTGGAGTCGTGAGAAACTGCATTAAGTGCAAACCCACAAAAGACACGGCATGCGGGTGCCGCGATTGCCCCACCATTGCCCACTACTGCCACGTGCGGAAACGTAAGGACGGTTGACCCCAAGCGATATTACGGTGTCTTTAGAATTCATCCCCTGGCAGCTGGCGAAGCCGAGACGTGGAGCAGGAGGTCTACAGGTCAGGTCAGAACATGGTGTGGCTGTCAGCTGAGGCAAAATTGTACGCTTCGTGGTACAGTGCACGTCTCCAGGACAAAGGCCTACTGGCTACTGACGTAGTAAAGAGGCGAACTTCCCAAAAGCAAAAAACTTGCTCCCATGGAACAAGCTTGCACCAGGAGGTTCTACAACATCCCCCAAAGGCTCTTCTCTTTGTCGAAATGCTCGCCTTGTGCTTGCATCCCTTGGAGATTTCGTTAAAATGCGAAGCTCAGCCTCAGCGCAGGTGAGATAGGACGTGGTCTAGGGTTTAGGGTTTAGGGTTTATGGGTTTAGGGTTCACTTGTAGCTGACATGCATTTCTCACACAGTTCTCAACGACGCAGGCCACCCTATGCCCGCGGAGGCACAGCCCTCGGCAGCTGCCAAATCGCAGGACCCCGCCCCCCCCCTCCCCCCCCCACCCCCCCCTCCCCCCCTCCCCGCCCCCTACTCCCCCCCCCTCCCCCCCCCCCTTCACCACCCCCCCCCCTCTCCCCTCCCCCCCCCCCCTCCCCCCCCCCCGCCCCCCACCCCCTCCCCCCCCCCCTCCCCCCCCCCCCTCACCCCCCCCCCCCCTCCCCCCACCCCCCCTCCCCCCTCCCCCCCACTCTCCCCCCACCCTACCCCCCTTATTTTCCCGCCCCCCCCCCCCCCCCCTCCACCCCCCCCCCCCACCCCCCCCCCCCCCCCCCCCCCCCCCCCCCCCACCCCCCCCCCCCCCTCCCCCCCTCCACCCCCTACCCCCCCGCCTGCATCTGATTGATGAACACGTCTGACCTGCGTCTAGAGAAGCGGTAGGCCCTTGGGACATTGCATACTTTCCCTTCTTGGGTTTAAGAGGATCATGTTCGGGAGTATTTTCAGAGGGTTACCCTAAACCCTAAACCCTGAACCCTAAACCCTAAACCCTAAACCCTAAACCCTAAACCCTAAACCCTAAGTCATCATATTCAGAATATTTGTTCAGAGGGTGTTCTCAGGGCCATCCTAGGAGCTGTCCTGGTGTTTCTGAGTTTCGGTGCATTCTCATGGAAAGTGTGAGGGAATCCATGTGGGTTTAGGGTTTAGGGTTTAGGGTTTAGGGTTTAGGGTTGATGTTGACAGGATGCAATGAAGATTGACTGGGACGATTGGAAGTCGCGAGCTTCTTACGGGCGCGCGGTGAGTTTTTTTTCTGTCCAGTGCGGTACATGTCGCGGGTAAGTTGGCTCCTTCAAAGAGCCTTGCTACCCAGACCCCTGGGAGGATCCAAAAAGTAGAACCCCCAAATCGTACACTTTTCTACTATTGGTTCATTTTTGGGAACCCTGAAGGGGATCTACTTTTTGGATCCTCCCGGGGGTCTGGGTAGAAGTTGAACCCAAAATCAGAGCAGCACTCAGCTATTGTCGGCATGTTTTCTACATGCTTCTGTTATTACCCATACATCCGTGGCCCTCTATCCACGCACATATGTTTGCCCAACCAGGCAACCAGGAACCGACAGACGAAAGTTCCAGTCAGTTGACTTGTGCTAGGTCGCGTTTTGCTGTGGAGAACCATGTTCGGTGTAGTGCTTCACGGCGCAAGCAAGGTGGGAATGGATGCAGCCTGGTTGGAAGGGGGCTGGGACCCTTCCATCTTCTGCAAGCAATCCTGCCATTTTCCGCCCAAAGCAAGTGGGCGAGACAGTACTTCCCTCAGTACTTCCCTCAGTGACTTCTGCAAGCTGACTTAGGTCAAGATGCACTCTCAGTGCGTGATCAACGCAGATGGGTCGGCCGAGATCCGAAGCGTGCCCTGCTTGGCGACCTATCAACTCCATGCCTTCACACCCACACTCCCGGGAGGATCCGAAAAAGTAGATCCCCTCAAGGGGTTCCTAAAAATGACCCAGGAGTAGTATAGGGTACTATTTTAATATAGGGGTTTACCTTTTTGGATCCTCCCAGGGGTCTGGGGCAGCAAGACTTTGTCATGACTGCATCGTCCCCGAGGTGTGGAAGTGAACAGCAAAACTCCTCCGGTGAGTGACGCACGCGAAAGCTGGTGACGCTCCGCAGTCCAGCAGTACCCTAAAAGGGACCCTAAACCCTAAACCATTTGGTGGTGTTTGTTGATGTCTGAGCTTTTGCGCATCTTCCGTCAAGAATGACAGAGAGTCGAGTCTCAGTGCCCAACCTCGGATGCTTGAGCCTGCCGCCATGAAAAGAGGGGGCCAGGAAGTAACGGTAGGATTTAGGGTTTAGGGCTTAGGGTTTAGGGTTCAAGGTTCAACGGTAGGATTCAGGGTGCATGTTTTGGGTTCGATGGCGGGCGCGTGCAATGAGCTGCTCGGCGTGGTGGCAAGATCAAGGAGTAACAATATCCAAGTTGTGTTTTCGTGGTGTTTCTTTGAAGCTTGTTCATGATGAAGGCTTTAGGTTGTTATTGAGGTGAATTGGCCTTCAGTGGGCTTCGTGAGTTCGCGGGCCTCCTGCACTTTGTGACAAGTTGCTCAGCAACCCTAAACCCTAGAGACCCTAAAGCCTAAACCCTGAACCCTAAACCCGAAACCCTTGCCTTCAGCTTCGTGAAGCTTGGCTCAGCTTGGCTCAGCTAGCGGTACTCATGAGCTCGACAGTGGTTCAGAATATGTGCCCCCTGGTGTTAAGTGAGTAGAGGTACGAAGTTCACACGCCATTCCCAGCCCTTCTGCAACACAGCATCCAGCCTACTTTTATGCAAAACACTCAGGCTTTTCAGTCAAAGTCAACGAAAGCAAGGTGCTGCAGCCCTGAGATGCTGCTATCCCTACACACTCCCCACCTCCCACACCAGTCTGTCTACTCGTTTGCCCTGTGAGCGGCCTCTAGGACGTAGTTAGTACTTGCTTAGCAGCCTCTATGGCAGCATTGCGCCGGGCTCTTTGCATCGCTGGCCTTGTGATGAACACACCGTGTGAGAGTTAAAGCGCCCTAAACCCTAAACCCTAAACCCTAAACCCTAAACCCTATGGTTGCCAGCCAAGGTCAGCGTAGCTTGACATGCGCTATAGGGGCAAGGCGGGAATGTTGCCAGAACCACGTGAACACATGCAGCGAACCTGCTTTGGGCCGGCTCACATGTCACATCTGCAACAGGTCGTTCGCTGCCGAGCCAAGGACTCCAACCCGGAACCCTCATAAACCCTAAACCCCCTAACCCTAAACCCCTAAAACCCTAAACCCTCAACCCCTCAAACCCTAAACCCCAGATGTCTTGCGGCCGTTTGAGGCCAGCTGTGGGTCCGAATGCAAAAGTTTGCAAATGCGCATGCTCTTAGCAGCTGAATGAGTGCACTTGTCACTTTTTGGGGATACGATCATCCCCTAAAGAACTGAAAGGGTACAACTTTTTTTTTGGGGGGGGGGGCTTATGAACTCAGCAACTATGAGTGGCGCACTCTCATTTTTCGAGCCGGTCGTGTTGCGGTTCAGGTCTTCAGATTTAGAACATGTCCGTCGCCTACACCCTGGCCCTAAAGCCTTACAACCCAAAGACCCGAAGACCCTAAGACCCTCTAAACCCTCAAGACCCTAAGACCCTCTAAACCCTCAAGACCCTAAGACCCTAAGACCCTCTAAACCCTTAAGATCCTAGGACTGTAAGACCCCAAGAATGATGTCACATGCATGATTTCCCTAAGAATCCCTACACCCCTGAGAATCCCTAAGCCCTTAAGACTTTAAGACCCTAAGGTTTAGGGTTTAGGGTTTAGGGTTTAGGGTTAAGGCCCTAAGACTTTAAGACCCTAAGGTTTAGGGTTTAGGGTTTAGGGTTCAGAATGATGTCAGACGCATGGTTTTCACACTTTCCAGGAGGTTGCGGCTGAGCCTCGGTGCGGGCTGCATCCCGAAGGTCTTGTTGCAAGCGGGTTGAGGGTTGAGGGTTGAGGGTTGAGGGTTGAGGGTTGAGGGTTGAGGGTTGAGGGTTGAGGGTTGAGGGTTGAGGGTTGAGGGTTGAGGGCCAGAACACACACACACACACACCAAACACTGAATCATGAAAGAGTCATCCGGAATCTCGAATGAATTGCGAGGGGTGCACTGCTGCGTACTTCCGGCGGAGCTCTTTGCGAGTTGAAGTTGAGATCCAGAGCACTTCGCCCCTCTCACGAAGCAGTCGTGTATGAAGATTTGTTGATCATGTTCCTTTTTGGGTACACTACACCCAATAGGGACCGCCATATAATGGTAGCCCCAAAAGGGACCAGAGTTTAGAGAAGTGATCTTATAACTGTCCATGAATCTCGTGGGCTAGGATGCCCAGTAGTACCCTTATTCCCTTTTTGGGGGGTTTAGGTTCCTTTATAATCCCCTTTTTTAAGCAAAAAAGGGCACCCTTTTTAAGCCTTGGTTACTGGGCAGTCTAGTGGGCTAGATTGACGACGCAGGTGGATGGGCAGAAAGGTGAAGATGCCTTCTTCGCACGATTCTCAGCAGACTCCCGGGCAGAAACTTGTTGTTAATGAAATAGGTTATTTGAAATATACGGTTTTGAGATACACCGTAAAACCAGAAATGTATACACATAAGTTCCAAGAAATACATAGAAATTATGCTAATACATCGGGACTATATGTATATTGTTTATTTATACTTTCTTTGCACAGGTGCTGCCATACCTGCGGCCTTTGTTCTCTTCAGCTGCAGGCCTCGTTGCCAATCTCGGCCTTTGGCCTTGCAGATGGTGTGGGCGGCTGGGCGGACCGAGTGCGGGCCTGAAGAGACAGGTAGGAAGGGTTTAGGGTTTAGGGTTTAGGGTTTAGGGTTTAGGGTTTAGGGTTTAGGGTTTAATTAGGGTGTAGGGTATTTCAGAATCTGTCAATATCTTTACTGCTGAAATGCGCTTCTCAGAATCTGTCAGGTTTAATCGTCCGCGCGTGTCTAGGCACAGAGTTTAAGTATTCAACAAAACATGCATCTCGAGTCTAGCCATTGTGAAGACTTGATCCGCTTCGCTGGCCCTGCGTTCGTGAATGCTTCTTGCAAATCTCTTACACCGCTCTCACCACATGCATTGCCTGCATTGCACAGGGCGTAGATGCTGGCCTTTTTTCCCGTGCCTTGCGCACGCCTCAGCACTTGCAAGAGTTTGAGCGTCTGTTAATCAACAGAAGTTGAAAGTTGGACTTGATTGTGTGGTTGTTGTGTCAATGTCAGATCTGCGCAAGGTTTAAGGAATCCATCGCAATGAAGCCATGACGTCATGGCATACCTCCTGGCATGCGCAATGTATGAAACAATGACTACTTATAGTCCTACCAAGCATACAGCTTGATGCCGAGCATAGCTGCCATTTAGAGAGCCCCACTCCATCATTTCATGCAGATGCCGATGGTTGTCAACTGTTTGTCTTTGCTGTGTGTACACTCAATTCTAAAGCCTAAACCCAAGACCACACGGGCAAGGTGCCAATGCACTTTCAGGGTCCCTAAACCCCAAGCCATCGCAAGCCCCAAGCAAGCTGTGCTTTAAAGTGTAGGTTGGATCTGAGCGATTTTGGGACGTGTACTCTCGACAGTTTTTTCCGGCTAACTTGGCAGGTTCATGCTCAGGTGTTACAAGTTTTCGAGGAATTGATTTGCAGTTTGGTTCAAGTAATAGGCTACGGCGTGGTTCTGAAAATCAGGGTATTCCGAAGCCCCAAGCCACGACAGCCCTTCTTTTCAGAGCCTTCCATCCGTAAAAACTTGTCAAACCATGTCAAGTTCCGCTTCAGAGCCCTTGCAATGCGCAGGCTTCACAGAGCTTTGGAGAGCATGAGGCGCAGCTGTCAACCGCATTGAACTGTCAGGGTTTAGGGTTTAGGGTCTCGGGCTTAGGGCTTAGGGCTTAGGGCTTAGGTTTAGGGTTTAGCAAAAATCGGCATCGCAGGCAACGCGCCAGCGCCATGCAGCGCCCAGACCTTCCCGGCGTGGCGCTTGAAGCTTTTCAGGCCAAAGAGCGGTGAGGGTTCAGGGTTTAGGGTTTAGGGTTTAGGGTTTAGGGTTTAGGGTTTAGGGTTTAGGGTTTAGGGTTGAGGGTTTAGGGTTTAGGGTTTAGGTTTATGCAGCTTGTTCGGTGTCTGTGCTCACAGCTGCCCAAGCCGAGCCAATCCAAGCCAGCAGCTGTCATCTGCTGAAGCAACGTCTATGTGCGCGCAGGCTGTTCGAGAAAAGCTTGGCGCTCAATCTTGGAAGCCGCGCTTTGCGATCAAGCACCGGTGCATGCCAATCAGAGTGGTAGGCAAAGATCCTAAACCCTCGAGGAGTCTCGAAGGCAGCTGCACGCTGCTTCTTGGGCAACTGCAGCAAGTCCGACTCTCAGTCAATCGGTGCCTGCTGGAGGAGCAGGGAAGGGTTTAGGGTTGAGGGTTTAGGGTTTAGGGTTTAGGGTCAAGCACCAAAGTCGCCCCTCCCCCCCATATCCCTCAGCTTTTCAGCTTCCTGCTGGTAGGGGGAACTCGGATCGGTCAGTGATGGAAGCATGCTCGCGACACCGTGAAGAACATGTGACAGATGTGCAGCTCAGGACGTGATCTCGTTGCTAAACCTGGGCGATTGCGGAATCATGGCATTAAGGCGGCTGCTTTCGGAACATCTGCGCAGGCTGACGCATCACAAGTCGAATAGCATTCACCGCGTACTGCCTTCGAGGAGTTTCTATATCCCCCTTGGGAACTTTCTTTTCATTTTTCATATACGGCCCAAGAGGATATTGGAAACATTATTTGTATTACGGTTCTAAGGGGAGAATAGGTTTAGCGTTGCATTCTGGTGAGGCATAAGAGCAGCCTCGGCGAGCGGTATTGCAGGGTTTTGATGCCCAGACCCCTGGGGAGGATCCAACAGTAGAACCCCTAAACAGCAATCTATACTACTATTGGGTCATGTTCAGGAACCCTTAAGGGGATCAACTTTTTGGATCCTCCCAAGGGGTCTGGGTGCCCTTTCATACATCATATACATCCTAGGATCCAGAGTAGGCCCTTATTCCCTTGTTGTTTTAGGGTTTTGGTTCCCTGCTCAGCCCCTTTAAACCAAAGAGAGGCTGCCCCTTTTGCTTCCAAGGCTACTCTTGAGTCTCGTTACCTAAACCTAATTCCCGAATTCTAAACCCTAAACCCTAAACCCTAAACCCTAAACCCTATTCCTAGGTGACTTTTTTGGGGTCACTCGTATCTTGACATGCCGAAGGCCTTGTTCCATTCTGCCTCGATTCCACGGGGGCACCGTGACCACGAGCATGCGCCTGCTCTACAGGCCAGGGTAAAGTTTAGGGTTTAGGGTTTAGGGTTTAGGGTTTAGGGTTTAGGGTTTAGGGTTTAGGGTTTAGGGTTATAATCCATATAAAGCTCTAAGATAAATTGGTTCTTATAGGGCTCCCAAACCTGCCCCAGAGGCCGAAACGGGCAGCAAGCCTTGGTAGGATAGTCGTACCCTTTTCCCTTTGTTTGGTTTCGCGGTTCCCTTATAAACTAGCCTAAGCCCTATAAAACCTCAAAAAAGGGTGCCCTTAGTATAACATGTTTACTGGGCTACCTAAGCGGGTGTGTAAAAATCTGCGACATGCAGCTAGTGGCAGTTCCTCTGTTTTAACACGGCGCTGTTCAATGTTTTGAGCTACCTTTTCAGCGAGTTCTTTTTCTGGCGAGGGGGTAGTTTAAAGCATGTGCGGCGTCAGACTAGTACGAAAAGACAGCGTTTGCAGCTGTTCTGTTTTGCAGCTCAAGGGTTTGTAAGTTGCACAATCTGCAGCTGCCGGCACCCCCCTTAGCTGCACATCACCACAGGAATGAATCACAGAAGGGGTGTCGGAAGAATTTCATAGTATTCCCCTATGGTCCCTACATAAATATAGACCCCCCAAATTCCTACTTTAGGTTTCAAGGCCCCCTGTATTGCTTCCGCAACCCCCGCGGCCCAAGAAGAAGAAAAGAAGCTCGAGCAAAGCGAAGCCGGACGCGAGCCAAGCCATGTTTTGAAGGTCGATCACGCTCGCATCCATGTTGAAAAGGTCGAGCACGTTTCCTTCTTCTGTTTCAATGCCTGGGTCAGCACCGTTGCAAATAGTTTAGAAGGGTCTGTGAAGTTGCCACGCAGCTTACTCTTATCGAGTAGCCAAAGGCCCGATCCACCAATGCGGTGCTTGCAAGACCTGGTGCAGCTGCAACTGGGGATGGGGGAGGGGGGGGGAGGGTGAGAGTCATCTTTACTTTCATCAAGCCGCTACAGGCTCCATTGTCACACTCCCCTCTTCGTTACCATCATGTTCAAAAGCAACAATGGTGGCGTCATTTCGCACAAGCAACCTCTCGGTCCGAGCATGGGAGAAGGGGTCTTGCAGACAATTGGTCGATCCCTACCATTGGCTCTAACAGCCAGCTAAGGCCTAAGGGGGTACTGATGTACTGCAGATTGAGCGCTAAACCCTGAATCACTACATCCTAAATCCCTGTGCAGATGGAACCCTAAACCCTTAACCGCCAAATCCTAAACCCCTGATGTACTGCAGATTGAACCCTAAACCCTTAGCCCCTGAATCCTAAACCCCTATACCCCTATACCCCTGAACCCCTGAACCCCTGAACCTTTCAACCCCTAAATCCTAACCCCTAAACCCCATGCCTCGATACTGGAATGGAGGTCTACGCCGATGCTCCATCGTGCAAATATGCCGCTGCAGCTGAGCTCGCAGGAGAGACGACTTGCATACACTGGCATGCACATGCTATTATATACACATACATTACATATATATATATATATGTTTATATGCAGTTATAGATATAGATACATGTACATATGTATATACATATATATATATATGTATACATATAGATATCTGTATTTATTTAAATGGTTGCTAATTTATTTGTGCATGCACGTGTACACATTGGTAATAACCTTATTTAGGGTACTTACAACCCTCCCTAAAAGTACCCGTGAACCTCCAGGCCAAAAGGTTATTCTTACACTTTTTGGGATACGATGATCCCCTATAGAACTGAAAGTGTACACTTTTTGGGGGCTTATGAACTCAGCGACTAAGTAGTCGGAGGGGTAAGCCCTAAAGCGCTTGAGGACCCGGACGTCTCAAGCCTCACCGAGTACTTCGACCTGGTCACGTGCGCAAGCGCCTGTGCTTTAGGCTTTGGGGTTTAGGGTTTAGGGTGTAGGGTTTAGGGTTTAGGATTTAGGGTTTAGGGTTTAGGGTTCCTAATAAACTTATAAACCCTCAACCTGATCATGGGGGACTGCAGCTGTAGTAGGGTTTGGAGAATCGGGTTGAAGGTCCAACTTAGCTTCCGCAAAGCACGAGTTGTGTATGGCAGTCTGTGTGGCAGACGACAACATACGGATGAACGCACCATGCAAAACAAGATACCCAGCAACAGTGTTGATAAGTGGACCAGATCAACCGGTTCAAGACCTTTCGCCGCAGCATCTTGGAACCGAGCACTACAGAAAGATGGCTAGCAAGATCTGGGAGCCTGAAATGTCCGAAGCAGGCCGGCAACCCAGGTGTCGAGTATGAAATTTGAGTTGGTCTGACCTGGACGCCCTTGTTGCAGAGAGTCAGGTTACCCGAAGCAAGAATACAGTGACCAACCCAAGCTTGTCGGAAGCTCAGCACCTCAGTGTCTTGAAGCAGGGGTAGGGCCGAGATCGTGCCTTGCTCCCTTAACAGGGGACCCCTATATACATTCATATACCCCCTAATATACCCCTTTCAAGAGGTTTATAGACCCCCTAAGATACCCTTTCAAGAGGGTTATATACCCCCTAAGATACCCTTTCAAGAGGGTTATATACCCCCGAAGATACCCTTTCAAGAGGGTTATATACCCCCGAAGATACCCTTTCAAGAGGGTACGGGACCATCTCAAGGGCCCCAAAAAACTACCCTCTGACCAATTTCCCGGCAGGACTTGGTTTGGTTGCCGTGTGGGGCTACGCTGCAGGCGCGCCCTGCTACTGTCGCACACCAGGATGGGCTGGTCGGCCTGAAAAACCTCAGAATCAACCTAGTATACCCTAAAAAGGCCTTCTGGAATTATGCCCTAGAAAGGCCCTGTTTAAGGGGTTTGTAGGGTAGAATACCTATTACATAAAGGGCACCCTTGTTAAGGGGTTATGGTGTAGTAGCCCATCCTGGCACGTGCCGGAAGTGTGTCCCGCACCTAAACCCTAAACCCTAAACCCTAAACCCTAAACCCTAAACCCTAAACCCTAAACCCTACATTAAGCTGTCGTGCTCCAGGCAAGTGCACCACCCGAGTCCTCATCTTTCGATCTGCCGCCTCTCGACAGCTTAATACAGGATTTAGGGCTTAGGGCTTAGGGCTTAGGGTTTAGGGTTTAGGGTTTAGGGTTTAGGGTTTACGGTGTTTAGGGTTTACGGTGTTTAGGGTTTAGGGTTTAGGGCTTAGGGTTTAGGGTTTAGGGTTTAGGGGTAGGGGTAGGGGTCGGAATAATTGCTGATAATATTCCCGGTCCCTTTTCAATTTTACTGTAATAACCTCCCCCAAAACCCCATTCTAACTATTCAGGCCCCCATATTGGAAGATGGTTAGGGCTTCGCAAGCACCCTCAGGGCTAGGGTACCCTGGAACCATTGCCAGAAGAGGGTGCATATGCGAAACTCTGTTGTTTCGGCTGTAGGGTGTAGGGTTTAGGGTTTAGGGTTCAGGGTTCAGGGTTTAGGGTTTAGGGTTTAGGGTTTAGGGCCCGGTCGCAACAGTCACATCCCAAATGCTTGCGGAACTGACGCCGTTGAAGCAGACCCCTGGGCAAAAGGTCTTCATAAGCTTGTCCCCTCAAGGGTCTCCATGTCCAGTGACACCCCGGTGCTGGTGTCATGTCAGCAAGTCAACCATGGAAGCGACGTGAAACCTTGCAACGACTAAAGCGCACGGCAGCAGAATCCCAAGAAAGGATTTAGGGTTTACCGTTTAGGGTTTGGGTGTAGGGAGGTTCCATGCAGGAATCACCCACGAGCTGGCAAAGCCACAGTTCAAGAGCCAGTGCTATAGCCCCCTTAGGAACTATTGTTCATCTCTTATAAAGCCCAAGAAAATTAATTATTCAAGATCCTATTCTTTATCAAGGTTCTAAGAGTAGAGTGAACCTAAACCTAACCCGAAGAGGGCTTTCTGGGGAGTGAGTCTAGTCCCCTAAACCCTAAACCCTAAACCCTAAACCCTAAACCCTAAACCCTAAACCCTAAACCCTAACCCTAAACCCTAAACCCTAAACCCTAAACCCCTAAACCCCTAAACCCCTAAACAAGCGACAGCGGCGACCGCATCGGGGCCATGCTTGGCTTGTGTCACTCAGGCAGAACGATGGCGCCATGCCCCAAAGAAGGAAGTCCGCGGCTTAGAGCACTTGCGCAGCAGAGTTTGCAGGCTTAAGGGTCAGAGATTAGGGTTTAGGGCCAGTCTAAACCCCAAACATCCCTAAGCCGTAAATCCATGTCACGCCTAAAGCCCTGACAGTTGAGATGCGCTGTAAGGGGCAGCCCCCTCCATGGGCTTGGCAGCGCCAGCGAAGAAAGCAGCCTGCAGAAGGCTCAGCAGAAGCAACTTGGTGGCAATTATTGAACCATCGGTTTAGGGTTTAAAGGCTTTTAAGTTTAGGGTGGAGGGTAGTCAGGGCAGGGTGTAGGAGAGAACAATCGAAGCACACTGAAAATTATTCCAACAAAGCTGGAGGCTGAGGAATCCCCCGAATATGAAACGATATCTTCACCCCCCCCGCCCCTTTTCCCTCGCAAAAATGGAAGAAGGGTCCGGCGAGGGTTTAGGGTTTAGGGTTAGGTTTGGGGGTTTAGGGTTCGTTTGAAATTCAGTCCCGTGGAGCTGCGGGCCTTATGACTTCTTTGCGGCATGGCCCTGCGGTTGATATCTTCAGGTTCGCAGTCCTTACGAAGCAGCTGGTAGTTTCCGAAGTTGAGGGTACCTTAATGTAAGGGAATCCTACTATTTTGGGGTTTATTTTGGGGGACCCCTATTTTCGTAAACCCCGGGCTTTTGGCTATTGGGGCTGAATTTGGAGGGATCGGATTTGAAGTGACTGTTGGCTTTTAGTAAGAGAAGTAAGGAGTCAGATGGGGATGTTCCCCCTTATACCAACAGTGAATAGGGGGTACGTTACTGCCCATTACGGACTGTTAGTATGAGGGGGAACATCCCAAGAGTTAGGTTCCTAATCCTCAAGCCTTATTCTGCTAAGAACCAGCCAGAAGAAGGCGAAAGGCCGCAGAGTGGAGCAGTGGAACAACGGCAGCTAACAAACTATTCAGTTGCCTCTCCAGCTAAGTGACCACTGGCACACTGGCATGAGTATTTCACCCGAAACCCTAAACCCTAAACCCTAAACCGAAGGCACCCCCTGAACCCTGAACCCTCAACCCTAAACCCTAAACCCTAAACCGTTGCCGAGGTTTTGGTGCCAGCAGCTCAAGCTGTATGACCAGATTGAGGACCTCAAGCCCCTCTATGCCAAGTTGTGGCTACGAGAGGTCGAGAAGGAGGAGGCGGAGGCAGCCAAGGGTTTAGGGTTTAGGGTTTAGGGTTTAGGGTTTAGGGTTTAGGGTTTAGGGCGCGATGCGTCTGTGAGAGCAATCCCCTGAGATTGGGGGGGGGGGGGCAGTTTCCGAAACTTAGGGGGTACCTTGTTCGGGCTTGTTATGAGGAATCCTTTAATTCGGGGGTCGATTGTGGGGTCCCTTATTCTCGTAAACTCCCACATCCCTTGAAAACGAGTCGTTTCGCAAGGTAGAGCTGTGAACCGGGCTGCCCTAACCCCTAAAGCCTAAACCCTAAACCCTAAACCCTAAACCCTAAACCCTAAAGTGGATCCATGCCTGCCAGATCGCTGGACGAATGCAGCTTGCTGGTGAAGAATTAGAAGAGCCAGGTGGGGCTTTACGAAAAAAGGGGACCCCCAATAGTAGGACCCCCAAATAGTAGCAGAAGGAGTAGGATCCCCTTCGAATAAGGACCCCAATAATTAATTACCCCTAATTTCGGAAACCTCCAGGTGAGACGCAGGAAAGCAGGGACTCCGCAAAGGAGGAGGGTGAGGGGGAGGAGGAGGTGGAAGCAGACGAGGAAGAGGCCGAGGACCGCGACGACGCAAACGACCTGTCGGATGGCGACGTGGATGCGCACAAAGGCGGGGGGGTTGTTCAAGATCATGAAGTTGACTTGGCTTTCTTCTGGCTGGCTCTTGGGACTTTAAGTTTTTGGGCTTTCGGTAGAACGATAATAAGGAGCCCAAAAGTTAAACTTTTAGGAGGGGGTTCAGAAGTCAGCCAAGTAGAGGTTTGGTGGTTGCCTGGGTGCCGGCCATTTGCCGCAGTCTGCTGCGGCATCGTATGAAGATACCTGCGATCGCATCACATGTTACATGTCATATGGGGGGTTTCCGAAATTAGGGGTCATATGGGGGGTTTCCGAAATTAGGGGTACCTTGTTGGGTCCTTAGTGTAAGGGACTCCAAGTATTTTGGGGTCTGTTGTGGGGGGGTCCATTATTTCCGTAAACTCCCATAGTGCATTATTGATGTAGAGCGTGAATCCCCAGACCCCTGAGAGGATCCAAAAAGTAGAACCGCTAAACAGTACCCTATACTACTATTGGGTCATGTTTAGGAAACCTTGAGGGGATCTACGATTTGGATCCTGCCAGGGGTCTGGGAAACCACAGCTACATACCCTACACTACTACAATCCCTATTGGAGTATATGAACCCGAAACCCTAAACCCCAAACCCTAAACCCTAAACCCTTTTAGGGTTCTTGTAGTCCTTAAGGTTGTTTCTACACGACAGGCACAAAGTGGCAAGGCGCAGCACCCGTCGACGGAGCGCCGGATGCCGCAGCTGAGTTTGAGCCGGAGACTTAGGGCCTGCAGAATGCCTGAAGGATACAGGGTTTAGGGTTTAGGGTTTAGGGTTTAGGGTTTAGGGTTTAGGGTTTAGGGTTTAGGGATGCAGGGTAGCTGCAGCTACAATCCTAGGCGCAGAACCGAACTTCTAGTAGTGTATAAACTACCCTAGGAGCCTTCACGTGTGACAGGTGGGTCAACACCTGGGTACTTGTTGCGGTTCGGCTTCGGAGATCTTCGGAGGAGGGGCTGGGAATCCGTGACGCAAGAGCCACCTGCTCTTAGGGTTTAGGGGTTAGGGTTTAGGGTTTAGGGTTTGGGTTTAGGGTTTAGGGTTTAGGGTTTAGGGTTTAGGGTTTAGGGTTTAGGGTTTAGGGTTTAGGGTTGAGGCCTTCTTCAACTACCAACAGCTGGCACATCATGACCGACACCATATGGGGGATTCTCTAAGCTAGGGCCCTTTCTGGGAGTACCGTTTTAAGGCGGCCCCTCTTAATTTTTAGTAGCTGAATGAGCACACCTAAACCCTAAACCGCGATTTGAGAGCTCACCATATGAGCCCCGCATCGCTCTTGCATCGATGCCCCGAAACTCGTGAGATGTGCGCATGGAGTCATTCCAGGACGGGTTTAGGGTTTAGGGTTTTAGGGTTTAGGGTTTAATTTGGGTTTAAGGTTTAGGGCTGCTATACCCACTCACCCCTCAAAAGGGATTGCGCAGGTTTTTGCTTATGGGAGAAATAAGGCCTACAAATACCCCTTAACAAGGCGCACCTATAAACTACCCAAAACCCTCAACCCTCAGCCCTCAGCCCTCAACCCTCAACCCTCAACCCTCAACCCTCCCCTAAACCCTAAACCATAAACCCTCAACCCTCAACCCTCAACCCTCAACCCTCAACCCTCAACCCAGGCAGCGAGCAAGGCACTCGTCGCTGCCATCGCAGGCACCTTTGTTTGGACTTCGATGGGCAGTTCTCTAAAATTCGCACTTCTCTAAATTACAAGGTTCTTTCTTTCTTGGGTAACCTGCATAGCACGGCACCCTTACAATGACGACCCCAAAAAGTGTAATGGCATGTGGGACACTGTGCGCGCAGGCGCTTTCTGCCAGAGATGACCTTCTCAAGAAGCTGCAGAAGGCTCGGACCCCTGAACGGGCGCTCTAGTCGCTGCGCCACCTTGCGGGTCCCACGGATTGCAGAGGCTGCGGCGCGCTATAACCTCCGATGTTGCGCGAAATGCTTCCCAAGTATCACGTGCCCTTTCTAGTTTTGAGTACCTAATACCCTAAACCCCAAACCCTAAACCCTAAACCCTTCTTAGTTTTGAGTACCTAATACATGGGTACATGGACCCTTTGAGCTTGTTCCTGGGTTGAACTGTCCGAAAAGTCACGCAAGTCTCCCAGCGTCGCGTTGCTGAGTCCGGAGAATGCAACTTGTTGTTTAGGGTTTGGGGTTTAGGGTTGAGGGTTTAGGGTTTGCATCACCACAGCTCTGCTCCAATCACATCCATGCACTGCCAGATACTCGATGCAAAAGCCAGAAAACCGCGCGGGGTCCTTGAATGTGGCCTCGGCGAGAGGGGGGGGGAGTAAACCCTAAACCCCAAACCCTAAATCCTAAACCCGAAACCCTAAACCCAACAGGGGTTTTGCACAAGTTTTGCACAAAGGGCGACTCATTGCCGAGGCCGGACGTGCAAGGTGTTTTTGGTATCGCCTCTCGAGGGACTGAGCCTCAGATCATTCAGATCCTGCTGTGCGCATTGCACTTGCGCACCCTAAACCCTGAACCCTAAACCCTAAACCCTGAACCCTGAACCCTGAACCCTGTGATTCAGCTGACCATGGCCGAAGGTGAGAATGGGACTTTGGTTTTGCCGAACTTCAGCGGAGCCCTCAGTAGGGCAGTTGGCCTGCACATCCTGAATCCCGCAGCTGCTGCGAAGATTTTTTCTGAGTGTCCTTTTTGACCCAAAAATATTTTAACATAATTAGGGTTTAGGGTATAGGGCTTAGGGCTTAGGGTTTAGGGTTTAGGGTTTAGGGTTTAGGGTTTAGGGTTTCGTAGAATAATATAATCGCACAACAGGTGTCAGCAATGGCGTGGATGCGGGAATCAGCTGGGACTAGCTTCTGGGGCACTAGAGCTTGCAAAGTCAAGCGGTGTCTAACAACAGCGTCGTACCGCAAGTTCTGTGTTTGCACTGTATGGTCCGGCAAGAAAAGGAAGCTTTCAAAGGAAGCAGTGTCAACAGCCGACTGACCTCGCAACACCGGTGGCCGAGAAACTCCCGCTGAAAAACGACCAAGTGTGCTCAATCTCGTGGTGTTACTTTTTGCTGAAGAACCACCAAACGAATCAAAAACGTTCTTCCTTATAAGGGCAGTACAAGGGCTCTTATTCTTTAGTTTTTTCGTGGGATCCTAAGCAAGTAGTTTGGGGGATGTTCCCCCGTATGCTAACAGTCCTTAGTAGGGATGTGTCTAGGGGGTACTCTATAATCCCTACTAAGGAGCTGTTAGCAGAAGGGGGAACATCCCAACTTATAGGGTATAGCCCTAAACCCTAAACCCTGAACATCCCAAGAGTGCCTTCAAGGCCCGCATGATGTCTTCGAGCCAGCAGATGTCGAGCGAATGCAGCAAGAAAGGGACTGCCGACCAAGACGTTGTCCAGGCAGGGTCCTTTTTTGTTGCAGGACAATTGGAGTTTAGGGTTTGGTTTAAATTCATAGTTTTATGTAAAGTATAGGGTTTAGGGTTTAGGGTTTAGGGTTGTGAGTGCTCAAAAGTATGATCCCTTTTTGGGGTACCCTAACTTTAGGAGGCGCCTGAGAGTAGTAACCTCAAAAGGGACCATAATTTAGAAACTGACCAACGAGAGCCACAAGCATGCGGGAAACTCTGCACGTAAGCTTTGTCTTGCCCAGGGATGCGGAGGTACATGCGCTGAGGGTTCTGAGAGCCGACGTGGTGGGGTATCTACATGTCTGACGCACAGAAATCAGGGTTTAGGGTTTAGGGTTTAGGGTCAGAAGAAGCGCCGCAGGCCCCGAAAGCCTTCGAATGCTCAAGGAGTTGGTTGCAGAGATCAAGAAGGTTGAGGCTGCAAGCGAGGACCTGAGAGCACAGACGTGGCGACAGCTGGGGGGGGTTCCGAAATTAGGGGTAACTACCTTATTGGGGTTTAGGGTTTAGGGTTTAGGGTTTAGGGTTTAGGGTTCCTCGTTTATTATGTTACTTATAAGGCAATCCTATTCTATTTGGGGGTTTATCATCATGGTCCCTAATTTTCGTAAGCCCCACATCGTCAACTCTCAAGAGTCCCCCTGCTCCCAACCACCGCAGCAGCCCCCAAGCCCTAAACCCTAAACCCAAACCCAAAACCCCTAAACCCCTAAACCCTAAACCCCAACCGGCCCTAAGGCGAGTCGGCTTCGATCTACACGAGCGGCGCCTCGCAGACCGAGACAGGCCACAAGTTACGTTGACTGCAAGATGTGGGGGGGGTTTACGATATTACAGGGGGTACCTTATTGGGGTCCTGAATATGAGGGGATCCTGCTAGTTGGGGATCTATATGTCCGGAACCAAGAAGCGAGCGTTGTTCAGACCAACCCCCATGTCTACATCCAGGTTGGGAAGCCAAGTTGCCGTGACCCACACAGGGGTTTAGGGTTTAGGGTTTAGGGTTTAGGGTTTAGGGTTTAGGGTTTAGGGTTTAGGGTACAGATCTGCTACATAGCTATCTACCTTGAGGACCTGTCACCCCTATCAGAAACTGCAAGCTCCTGTGTCCCTCTCTACACGGGCTGAACTTGCCACATCCTCCGCCGAAGCAGTTGCGAAGGTGCTGCCGGTCTGGGCTCGTTCCAGGAGGGCCCGCAAGGCTTGGCGAAGTGAGCCTGGCCCCGCGCTGCTGCGCGCGGCTGCGCGCGTGCGTCAGGGTCTGACGCCGAGTCGACACAACCCTGGATATGTGCCCTTTGCTCAGCTCCAGGAAGTGTTGCCAAGGGGTCTGAAGATACAGGCCTGGAAGGCACCTTGAGGCACCAAAAGAGGGTCCCCAGACTTCTCTGCCCGCTGCACAATTCGGGCGACTGGCAGGGTTGGTCCAGAGCTGTATGTAAGTCGTTTGAGTAAGTTAGAGTCTGAGCGATTCGAAACTTCAAGATATGTTTCATGATCGACAACCCTGGCTGAAGCCAAGCTTTCTGTCACCTTGCTTTAAACCTTGCACTTCGCACTCGCGCGACTGTCATTTGAAGAAATGATCGCACCGCCGTTCTGTCCGTGACTGCCATTCCGAGATCACTTGTATCCACCCCCTAAGCGTAGTAGGCCGGTGGCTTGCTGGAGGTTTTCGGACGTATATGGGGGTTTCCGAAACACGGGACCCGTAATATAGTCCCCAACTAATGGGATTCCCTTACAATATGGACCCCAATCAGGAACCCGCTAATTTCGGATATGGCCTCGAAGTTCCCTTGCCTCAGAGGCTTTAGAGGCCCCAAACCCTAAACCCTGAACCCTGAACCCTAAACCCTAAACCCTAAACCCTGAACCCTAAACCCTAAACCCTAAACTCTGAAAGATTTGCGCAGGTTGAAGCTGAGGAGAGGCGATGTGTTGATTGCCGGGACAGACGGCCTCTTCGACAACATCGGGGACCATGCGCGCTTAGGGTTTAGGATTTAGGGTTTAGGGTTTAGGGTTTAGGGTTTTAGGGTTTTCGGGTTTAGGGTTTAGGATTTACTTCACCCGGCACCCAGTCATGTTTCCTTCTGCCTTGAAAGGTCGGAAGGCCAAAGCTCCCTAAGCGCATTCTCAGTTTGCGCTGCAGTGGCTCCCCAGAGACTCCAAAACCCCTTAATTAAGGAACATACCTTAAATCATATTAGGGCTCCTACTATAACTTAAGGTCTATTGCTTAATTAAGGAATATACCTTAAATCATATGAGGGGTCCTACTATAACTTAAGGTATATTCCTTAACACCCCTTAATTAAGGGGTTTTGGAGTCCTACTATAACTTAAGGTATATTCCTTAATTATGGCGTTTTGGATCCCAACTTCCAGGACTTGGAGCTCAAGTCCCTGGCGTTGGCGCACCACGAAAGCCCGCCCGGCAGGGTGTAAAACGCAGCATCTCGAAGCCCTCTAAACCCTAAACCCTAAACCCTAAACCCTAAACCCTAAACCCTAAACCCTAAACCTACTTCACCTGCGGAAAAGTCTTGCGCCTCCGTGGGCGTCAATCAGTTCTTCGATGTTTGTCGCGTGCTGCCATCAGGTCGCACAGCGAGTAGCGCCGGATCGACGCAGGACTTGGCCAATGCGCCGAGCCCTCAGGTTGAGGAGACCCTAAACCCTAAACCCTAAACCCTAAAGGAGATATGTGGGGAGCTTTCTCCACTAGGAGGTTCTTGGCACTTATTAACCAGTTATAACTGTACTTATAACTGTACTATACCCATATTAGGGCACTTCAGGGGTTTATGAGTGGGTTATAAGTACAGTTGCAGTTGGTTAGTAAGTACCATGAGCCTCCAAGCACAGCCTGGACATGTCAAAATGTACGTCCTGCCATGCTGAGTCATAGGGCTCTCAAGGGGGGGTTAGCCTGTTTAAGGCGTTTAAGGAGGGGCACCTTATTTGTGGTCCTTATTACACTATTGGGGGATATGAAGCAGGGTATTTATTTCTGTTTTTGGTGAGTGTATTTAAGGCTCCTTTTTAATATTGGTGAGTGTATATACTGGGTGTCCTTTCGGGGGTACAAGAAATATATACCCTAAACCCTAAACCCTAAACCCTTATTATACTATTTTGGGGGGGATATTCGGGATGTGTAGGGATGCGGCCCCTGGAAGGCTTCTGGCGCGGGCTGCCGAAGTGGTGGCCCCCTCGAAGAGACAGAATCTGGCTGGTTCTTAGCAGGGAATGAGGTACCCTTTTGAATCCCTTAAAGGGTATATATATATATATATGCATAGGGCCCTAATATATAATCCCTTTAAAGGGTACATATATAGGGTAGGTACCTCATTCCCTCATTCCCTACTAAGAACCAGGGAGAGAAAGGCACTGCAATCCAGCCATGCACTGTGGCAATCCAGGCCCGCGCGCCTATGGAGTTCGGGCCCGGTGGAAAGCTTCGAGCCAAGCAAGTTCTGCAGCAGGAAAGATGTGGGGAGCGGGTCAGCTGTGAACAGCCTAAGGCTGGACGATATAGCTGTGGTACTGGCGGAGGCCTGTTTCTCAAGGTTCTTGATGTAGTTGGAGGTGCAGGGTACTTAGCAACCCAATAGAAGTGTAGAATTATAACCCACACATAGCCCCTTTAGTTCCCTAATAGGGTTATAATTGGCTAATAAGTACAGTTATGAATTGGGCTACTAAGCACCATGAAGCTCCAGGTAGTTGAGACATGGTGGGCCTGGCCGTAGGTCCAAGACTCCTCGCCTGTCTCACCGGCGGGGTTGCTCTCAAACCTTGCCAGTCACCAAGAGGGGGGGTTTCCGAAATCAGGGGTATAAACCCTAAACCCTAAGCCCTAAGTACCGTTTTGGGGTCCTTGTTGTAAAAGAGTCCTACTATTGGGGGGGGCTATATTAGGGGGTCCCGTATTTTCGTAAACCGCCAGGAAGCTGCAAGCCATCAGCGAAGCGGACTTTTCCCCCTACTCGACTAACCCTAAACCCTAAACCTACAAAGCCCAGGTGCAGGCTGAAGAGTGACGCATGCCCACGAGTGATTGTTCCAATCGCGGGCACAATCCTTATGTCTCACGTATATTGATTTTGTGAGGCTGTGCTACTCGCAGCCTACGGCTGGAAGGCTCCAACACGCTTCTGGCCGACGCCCATCCCGACATGAAGACCATTCTCTTGGGGATTTAGGGGTTTAGGGTTTAGGGTTGAGGGTTTAGGGTTTAGGGTTTAGGGTTTAGGATACCCTACCCCACGAACCGCACAAAGCCGATCCGTTCGTGTGAAACTGCTGGGCCACGGTGGGTAGTGCAGAGCGTGGCCAACTCGGGCTGGAATTTTCCGCCAAGTGGTGTCTACCACTAATCCCGTTCAGCCAGCGATCATGGGCAAAAGAAAGCAACAGACATCAGCAAACACCTTAAGCAGCGCAGGTTCGCAAGTGTCAGTCTCTGCATTCATTTGCAGTGCACTCCAGGCCGTGCACATTGCAACGCAGCAGTGTGTTTTCAAAGGCCCCACAGTGCGGACAAGTTTGTTGAGTAGCCACATGCAACGTGCATTACCGAGCTATAGCTGCCGACAGCGGGCTGCCTCTGTTGCTAGACTTAGGGTTTAGGGTGTAGGGTGTTTAGGGTTTAGGGTTCAGGGTTCAGGGTTCAAGGTCTCCCGGGTCAAAACGACCATCTGCCATCGACCAAGGAGCTCTATGGAGTACGTAGTCTTCTGCAGCTCCTGCGCAACACACCAAAGCCATGGCAGACGAGTTGGGGGAAGCGGCGAAAGCCGGTAACGTCCCAAAGGTGAAAGCGCTGCTGAAGAAAAGCCCGGCGCCCAATCGCCTAACTTTCACACTTAGGGTTTAGAGTTTAGGGTTTAGGGTGTAGGGTTTAGTACGTTCTCACACCTACACCCTAACATCTCGACCACTTCGAAGACGCTCAGCTTTGTGCTGACCGTTGGGGACCGGGAACCTTCCGTCAGATCAGGGGGGGTTGATTTTGACCCTGAGCCGACCTCTGTGTCTTTCGTTCAATATTAAAGTCTGTAACCAGTATAGAAGATCCCTGAAATATTCCTATGATCTCCTAGAATTTTTCGTAAGATCCTTCTAATCTCCCTACAATCTCCTTATACTATCATAACATATCCCCAAAGTATCCCTGCAATGGCCCTACAGGGTACCAAGCAGGGCCCAGGACTTAGAGCCCAGAACCCTGAACCCTAAACCCTAAACCCTAAGCCACCCCCCCCCCCCCCCCCCCAATATGGATCACCAGGTGCGGACCTGGAATCTGCCAAGGCCAACGGGTTTAGACAGTTGAGGGTTTAGGGCGTAGGGATTAGGGTGTAGGTTTCAGGGTTTAGGGTTTGGGGTTTAGGGTTTAGGGTTTAGGGTTTAGGGTTTTTCAAAGTTCAAGTTTAGGGGCTTTCTCGTTCTTGCGATCGATGCTCGACCGCGTCTCAGATGGACTTGTGGCAGGTTCAGAATGCCTGCGTCAGCGCCGCTCTTGAAAAGCAGGCCGCTGCTGTGCTGCTGTGTGGGGTTTAGGGTTTAGGGTTTGGGGTTTAGGGTTTAGGGTTTAGGGTTTAGGGTTTGGGGTTATGGCGGAAAATTGTCCCCAAAAGCCACCGTTCTCGAACATGTTGCGACAAGTTGTTTTGCTCGCTGCGTTGCGCGCAGTGTTCTGAAAGAGACACTTTTCTCACGGCGAAAGGTAACTTTTCTCGCTGATTTTACCGCAGAACCTGGAAGACGCCCCGCGTGACAGCTGAGCAGTTTCTTGCAGGGCTTACTCAGCCTTCAACCCTAGGCCCTCATTATGGGGTGTAAACTTGTCAGGAGTCAGGCTTTTTCTCCATGGGACCACGTGTAATGCAGTGGCTCAGAAGACGCTCTACACGGGCAGTTTGAAACATAATTTTCGTTGTTTATTGCCTTTAACCCCCTATATAACCCTTGTACCTTGTACAGCCCTAAACCCTAAACCCTAAACCCTCCAAGCCTACCCCAGTTTTAGCGGTTCTCCTTGTCAGGCGGAGTGCGTGCAGGCCTTCCTAGAAGCTGGGGCTCCCCTGACGTGTCCGGCCCTGAGCGACGCTTGAGCAGGGGGTAGGTTTAAACATACCAGGATGGGGGTTTAGGGGTTTAGGGTTTAGGGTTTAGGGTTTAGGGTTTAGGGTTTAGGGTTTAGGGTTTAGGGTTTAGGGCCATTAGGCCTTCTACTCCCCATCATCAACCCTGTAAAGGGCCTTTTTAGTAGAGCAAACGCGCACAGACCGCATTGCAATGTTGCACTTCTAAGCCCTCACCCCGCCCCCCCCCCTCCCGGAACTCATCGGACTTTTCCTCGAAAAACCAGACGAACGTACGGATACGCGCCGCGCACCAACTACATAAGCGCCCCTAAAGTACTTGGAGTTTCATGGTACTTATTAACCAATTCTAACTGTACTTGTAACCCACTTATAAGCCCCTTAAGTGCCCTAATATGGTTATCGGTACAGTTATAACGCCAGCTATAATTGCTTAGTAAGTACCATGACTATATACCCCTTGGGAATTGTTTTTTCAGGCTTGCACCCTCTCTCAAAGTCTTCAGGCTCCGACCGGGAAGGTCGACGCCTCCTACCTGCCTGCTGCCGCCTCTTGGCGACGGGAACAAGCAGAATAGTCGAAGCCCGGTTTGTTTTCCGCTCGTGTGCTGAGGTGTGTCTGTTTGAGTTGCCATGCCTTCGGCATGGAGGGCACAACGCAAAATTTGAGTGGCATTCTTGAGATGTGCAGGACCAGGCGGTTTGATGAAGCATTAGCAGCAACCATGGCAGTCTGAGTGGGGTCAAAAAACTGCTGGAATGCTGCTACGCTCACCCGAACTGAAGTTGTGCTGCTAGACGTGCTTGTTAGACATGACATGTTTCGGCTGTTCATGTCAATCTATGCCCTGGGATGTTCCCCCTTATACTACCAGTCCATTCCAGTCCCTAATAAGGATTGTAACAGGGGGTATTCAGAACTGTTAGTATGGGGGGGGAATATCCCAACTTATGGGGTGTATAGTATATAGCCCTAAACCGTAAACCCTGAGCCCTAAACCCTAAACCCTGAACCCTGAGCCCAGTCTATGTCCCTTTGATCTCAGCTCAGGGAGCAACTTGGCGGAATCCATCGCACTGATGGTGTCCCTCCGGGCCGACGTGTCCAAGCCTGACGGCATCCCGGCATTCTTTCAGGGCTTCGGTTTTAGGGTTTAGGGTTCAGGGTTCAGGGTTCAGGGCTTCGGTTTTTGGGTTTAGGTTGGGATGTTCCCCCTTATATTAGCAGTCCTTCATAGGGACTATCATAGGCGGTACTGTTAGTATAAGGGGGAACATCCCAAGGTTTAGGGTGTAGGTTTGGGTCGGCTGAAATGCAGAAAAGTTGAACGGCTTTGATGCAACGATTCTTGGCCAGTAGGAGAAGTTGGCCTAAACCCTAAACCCTAAACCCTAAACCCTAAACCCCTTTAACTTCATGGGTGGGAAATCGGAGACTGCCTCCAGAGGTGCATTTTCCCCACGGTTCTTCGTAGGGGAAGGCGGGAATCAGGGCCCTATGTATACACCTTAAGGGAGTACACTAGGGCCCCGAAAAAAAATCCCTTAAAGGCATTATATAAGGCTCTATAAATACCCCTTAATGTTGCACTGTCTGTAGTATGGCTCCCCCCCTCCCCCAAACAAATTTGGACCCTCTATAAACGCATGGCACGTCGCGCGCCCCAACAAATTGGGGAGGGGGGGGGGGCGGGGGAAACGCCCTCAGGGCCTCAAGCCTTCAGGACCTCAAGGCCTGAAGCTAGCCTTTAAAATTCCTGGAGCCCAAGGCCCTCAGGGCCTCAAGCCTTACTGCGTACAAACCCTTAGAAAAGTTCATCCGAAAAAACTTGGTATTATAGAGGGTAGCCAGACAAACTTACTAAAGACAGCCTGACCGGCCCGTGGGCCACCTATCACAAAATTTGTTTGGGCCTCGTTTCGTAATGCATTTCCATAAGGCTTTACATGGAACTGGCCGGGCTTAGATTTCTGGATTTTCCGCGCTCTGGCTCTCCAAGATTCCTGGAGCCCAAGACCCTCAGGCCCTCAAGCCTTACTGCGTAAGCCCTTAACCCAAAACACAAACCCTTAAACAAAAAAAACGTCCGGAAAAAACTTGTGATAATCGCGGGTACCCTGAACAAACTCGGTTCGCAGAATAAGTTTTCGAAACTTGTGATTACAGACCCTACTTCTACTACAGTCAGTCCAACATTAAGGGAGTATATAGGGTATCTCATTCCCTCATTCCCTACTAAGGACCAGCCAGTTTTCTAATCATTGCGCCACAGATGCCCAGGTGACGGATCACTGCCGATGTCCTTGGCAATCAAGAACAAGTCCATGAGCTGTGTCAAGGCATGTTGGAACCCGCCACCGTAGGGTTTAGGGTTTAGGGTTTAGGGTTTAGGGTTTTGGGTTGAGGGTTTAGGGTTTAGGGTTTAGGGTTTAGGGTTTTTAGGGTTTATCAAGTTTAGATGGGAAGCTCGCCTTCAAGTGGGAGATGCTAGTTCCAGTTCCAAGTGCGAAGATTCCCAGGAGATGCTGTAGAGGCAGAGTTCCGCCATCACAGTGAGCTGCATACTTGGAGGCTTATGGTGCTGAATAACCCAATTATAACTGCACTTATAACCCAATCATAACCATATCAGGGCACTTGAGGGGCTTATAGGTGGAAACAGGCGCGTAAAAAAC